CAAACCACTTTTTTTTAATTAATAATTTTGCAAAAAAGATTTTGGTGTCACTAACCTCTCCTTTATCCTACGTTTGAACAGGTCCAATTCGGTTTGAACTTCGCGCAGCTCAACCTCGGCCTGTCGCAATTGGTCCTCAACACCTTCAAGGCGAAAAAGCTCTTTGTTCTGCTCAGCAGCATTCCGGCCATGTCTGGCTGTCTCCAAAAGACGGTTAGCCACCTTCACCTCTCCACTCAGCCGATCAGCCAGTGTCTGTAGTCGGTCAAGCTCAGCTCGATGCTCAACCATCTCTTCAAATGCCGCGTTGATCTGGCACAGTCTGGCGGCCAATGCCTCGGAAAGTCGGACTAGACGTTCACTCTCTCTTTGCATGTCTAGACCGGCCTCATTAGTCAGTTCCACAATCTTCACCTCGAGGCTCTGAGAAGAGTCCAGCTTTTTCCTGCGACAATTGCATAAAAGTTACGCATATACTCATACAACCATTAAGAAAATGCGTTCAACTAGGATTATCCCGCCTAAGAAGGCCTTTATGAGGTAGTATTTTATGAAAAAAAATGCTGAGTTCCTTTTCTCTTCGTTTGGCAGTGTGTGATGAGGATATTTGGAGGCTGACATTACCAGAAGACGACGGCTGCTTCATCATGACCACCTGTCGTTTGGCTTTAATGAAATATTCTTGCTGACGCCATTTCCGAGGCAATGTCATTCGATTTCAGTGAAAACGTACCACGGTTTCGTTATTCTTATGACGGACATCATCGGAAAAGGGTATCATCCTTAAAACCAAAGGAAAATATGGTTGTAAGAATGATACCATGCTTCAACGATGTCCGTCTTATGAAGGACCAAACATTGACACGTTTTCACCGAAATCGAAAGAGGTTGCCAACAAGAATGTTCCATAAAGCAGATCGACAGCTGGCCAAGAGGAAATTCGCGGTCGTCTTGAAGTGGGATTGAAATTCGAATCCCTTCACCAAACACTTTCAATAGAGAAAAAGTATTTAGGACCAAATTAAATGAACTTATTCGAACCGAAACAAGTCTGAGAAGAGTCCTTCCACCGTTCTTTTCTCATATAAACGTTCGTAACTAACAGAATATGGAAGACGGTTTAGTTGAAATGATGAATAAGGTTAGCAGACGCTACAATGATAAAAAATTGAGGAATTTAGGCATCAAAATCGACTTGAGGACTAAGAATATAAATAAAGTTAAGTTACTATTTCTAGTATACCTAAAGATTATATAATAATGGTCTTCTTGGAAAGGGGTCTTGCCTCTCATAAGGTCTCTCATCCCAGCTCAACTGGATTGGTCTGAAGTTTGGACCTCATCTTAACTGCATGATCAGAATCCTTAGCGT